CCCTAAAAGGTGTCACCTTTGTTATCCCACTAGCGCATTCTGGGCCCAAGGAAACGCCCCAGATCTGACACAAAAAATAACGGTACTCATCCGAAGACTAGCAACACTGGTGGGGAAGGCTCGGAAGTGGTTTCCGCCGATGCTTTGGAAGCAAGAACCAATTCGACCACACTTCATCCACAACCACTGAAACCCTCATCAACAAGTGCTGCAACTCCCTCTAACTTCTCCCCTGCCTACTGCAATCAAAAACAATTTGGTTAATCATAGTTTATTAATAACAAATAGTGGAACTCTTTAAAAAGAATAGCGGTAACCGTAATGTGGACAACTTCAATAGTCAATATAGCAATATGTACAAGAGATCGATACAACCTCAACACTGGTATGTTTAACAATTACGCCTTAGCAGCAGGAGCCTTCTTGGTAGTTTTCTTCGCCTTAGGGGCAGCCTTCTTCGGAGTGCTGGCGGCAGCCTTCTTGGGTGACTTAGCAGACTTCGCCTTCGGCTTCGATGACTTCTTCGGGGACTTGGCTGACTTCTCCTTCTTAGCTTTCGCTGCCTGAAAGTGGGAATCTCAGTGAGTAATCATTCAAAAACAACAACTAATGCAATCACAGTAATAAACAACCGAATACCTTGGGCTTCTCCGAAGCAGTCTTTTTCGGCGTGGCTTCTCCTCCAGTTGACTTCGGCTTCTTCGCAACTTTCTTCGGCTTTGCTGATCCTTCAGACTTATCACCAAGACGGAACCTGCCAGCAGCACCCGTTCCGGAAGCCTGCTTGAGAAGTCCTGACTGGACACCCTTTTTGAGCGCGAAGCGAAGACGTGCATTGATCTGAAATCGATCATTGTACAATGCCAACATCATCACTAACAGCCCACTCAAGTCCGAAGTTAAATATAAACTCACCATTTTCTCATTATCACCGAGTTTGTACTTCTGCACAATGTACTTTAAAATAGCTTGCTTTGAAGCTCCCTTGCGATCCTCGAGTTCTTTGATAGCCGCCT